AACACTACTTCTTTTTTTTTTTTTGGAACAATAGAGAATTTTATAGATTAAAACGCACAAATGTTAAAGAAACAACCTAGTTGAATAGTACAACCAAAAGTTGAATAAACTGGGAGGACACTCATGGGCGAATTTACATTCATCACTAGGGGGGCAATTGCCCCCCTCCCCCCTCAAACTTTAATTTTTTTTACTATTATAACTAAAAATTTTAATTTGTTCCACTCTTAAATTATTTTTTGCACCCCCACATTTTTTTTTTTTAAATGTCACTCACAAGTAGTGATGTAAATGAACAGAGCTTGGGCTGTTCGAGCTCGTGTTTGTTTACGTTCGAACAGTGTTCGTGTTCGTTCGTTTATTTTTCGAGCAAAAAATCGTGCTCGAGTTCGTTCGTTTAATTGTTCGTCAAGGTTCGAGTTTGTTCATGTTCAAATAATATAATACATAAACTTTTTAAATGTGTTTGAATTAACTCGAAATTTTTTTGTTCGAACTCGAAAATAAAAGAATAAAATAAAAATATTAATATATTTTAGATTTTTATTTAAAAATATTACGTATATATAAAAAATAAATAAAAATTATATTAAATTTAAGATTTTTTTATTACAAATATTATGTAAATATATAAAATATAAAATAAACTTATATTGAATTAATGTTTGCGAACCTAATCGAACGTTCACGAACGAGTTCGTGTTCGTTCGATTATTAAACGAGCCTAGTTTTCTGTTCGAACTCGGCTCGATTAACAAACGAACGAGCTTTTGTAGAACACGAACGAACTCGAACGAGCTTTTGTTCGCGAACGTTCGGTTCGTTTGCAGCTCTACTCACAAGGCCAACAATTGTAATTATAAGGTAGCTTGTTTTATGCATTTTTGTTATCTTTTACAAATTATGTCATGTTTTTTGCCCCCTCTCAACTAATTTTCTGGTTTCGCCCCAGAGGACAGTTCAGAAGACCGCCTATACCCGACACTAGCAATGCTAGAAACCAAAAAAGGACTCACGATACGACATACCTAACAAACACGAATAAAAAACTGCAAGGCTCCCAATAGGAGAATAAACAGAAAATGATCGCAAAAGGATAATACCCGCTCTCACTCGGGCACACCCAGAGGCCAACGGCCCAAACCAAAAACACAAGACCTAACAACACAAGCAAACAAAGAGAGAACACACCTAAAACAAAACAATAACACCAAAACTAGAGCCCTCTTCAGCAACCAGAAAAGCTCAATGAAAACCCCGCCACTGCTACCGAGAGCTCCCACCCGAAGGGAAAGCATACCGAGCTAAACACCGAGACCTGAAACTGCAACTCGCCTAACAAGATCCGATGCTCCAGCCTCGATACTCTCCCAGGTAATCACCCACGAACCGGTCAACGGAGGTCAGCCCCAAACTTACACCAACCCACCTGTTGTAGCAAATTATTTTATTTTACCGAGTACCGAATTGAATGATTTGTTCCTCGGGCCGATCTCTCGAGGAAGGCGGTTCGGAATCTAGAATTGGTGTCGATCAACACACGAAAGCAAAATAAATTTTAAACATTTTAATCAAGATAAGATATGAATAAATTATTAACTAAGAAATAACTTAAAACATAAATCTACCTAAAAATATAAACGACACAATGATAAAGAAGCTAGGGAGTCGGGGATAATTAATTCGAGTTCTATTCACAAAACCGGGCAATTAATCGTTTGGTTCGAGATTGTCGCTCTCGCCTAGATATCTAGCGGTTCGCTCCCAATAACTCTTCGTAACAAGGGATTGAACATAGACGAACAAGCTCGAGCATACAATACTGGCCAATTATCCAATCCCAATAACTTTTCGTAACAAGGGAAAGGATATCGACAAGCGTGTACTCCAATCTGAAACCTATGGACCATTCAATTACGAAATCGTCTATCACGTACGAGCCTAGTTCTACGACTCCTTCCCTTTCGGTTCTAAAAGCCGCTAATTGAATTAGAAGGGGCTTAATCAACTAATCATTTGGAATCAACAAAACCCAACTAGACAAATCAATATTCAATTGTTTCCAATTGCAAGATCGAAGTGTCACTCTTCAATTATATCAATCAATCAAACAAGAATTCATCAATTCCTAATCAAATCAATATTGCACAAGAACGAACAAATTAAAGCCCAACAATTACGAATTAATCAAGAACAATCATCCCTTATCCCCAGCAATCAAATTTAGCTACGAAAATCACATTCAACACAATTAAAAATCTCAACCCAAGCAATTATTTTCATCAAGTAAAAGAAAAGAAAGACTTACGATTAATAGAGAAATCAAGTTTGAATTCGAATTACAAACTAAAAGGGAGTTTTTTGAGAGAAAAAGGGAAACGAACGAGTAGGGGCAATGTGGCGGTGGTTGTCTGCAACTTCAGGCAAGTGTCCGACGGAGGTGGTTACCTGCTCCACGACGGCCTACAACTTCACTCCTAGAGTCCGACGACGGGCGGCGAGATGGCTGCGACATTCGACTGCGGGCGGCAGATGGCGTCGGCGCTCGGCGGAGGGCGGCAACGGCGCTAGAGATGGCTATAGATGGAGTGTCGCGGTGGAAAGTCCATCACTTGTGTGTGTGAATACGTGAGAGAGAAATTAAAGGTTGGTAGGGGTGGTAGTGGGTCCCACATGTGATGTGTCTAATTGGAAATTACCAGCCTGCCTTTATTTTATGTTTAAATGTATAGGTTTGACCATGAAATTAACACCTATTTACAACAATGCCATTGCATGTTTGACTTCATATTTAATATTTGACTTGATCTTAACCATTGATATGTTGGATCCAATGATCCAGTACCATTCTTATTTCTTTCACTATCTACAATTCTCATATGATCCACTCCCTCTCTCTCTGTCTCTCTCTCTTTCTCTCTCTACATATATATATAGGATGTGGTTCAAATGAGAACCAAGTCCTAGCGTGAGAACCATGGGAACCGCTATTTATAGTTGTACGTAATGCATGATTTATTGTGTTTTAGTATTATTTTTAACATGGATCTATTTTCTTAAAAATAGCAACACAATTTATATTAGCATTTGTGAGAATGATAGCACCATGTGATATTAAAAATAGCATCATATACAATAAAAAATTGCATCAAAGACGGTTCTCACAACATGACAAGTTTTTATTTGAACCACTCCATATATATATATATAGATTGGTTCAAATGCGGCCGCTTTTTTAAAGTGAGGACGTGAGACTCATTTTTAGCCACAAAATTTGGTACATCATGTGTGGCCAAGATTTACTCTTTTTTTTTTATTATTATAATTATTTAAGCATTATTTTGACCAGTTGACTTCGGCGTTGACCGTTGACTTTCGGCGTTGACCGTTGACAACTAACCTTCCAACTAGCTAGGTTAGTTCTCTGTAGTTGCTAGGTTAGTTCTCTGTAGTCGCTAGCTTAGTTGTCTGTAGTTGCTAGGTTAGTAGTTGCTAGGTTAGTTCTATCTTGTTGCTAAGTTAGTTCTATCTTGTTGCTAAGTTAGTTCTAAGTAGTTGCTAGGTTAGTTGTCTCTCGTTGCTAGGTTAGTTCTCTGTAGTTGCTAGGTTAGTTATCTGATGTTGCTAGGTTAGTTGTGTCTAGTTTCTAGGTTTTGTCTGATGTTGCTAGGTTAGTTATGTCTAGTTGCTAGGTTAGTTGTCTGTTGT